CCATGATTGTCTAAATGTCTAAATTAATTTATATTTTAGACATTGTCTAAATAATTTAGTTTAGACACCCATCTATAACCATCAACATTACCAAACCAATTTGGAGTGCATGTATAAACATGGTGATTCTAACTTGATCTAAACTAAGTCCTTTTATATCTCTTAGGTTATTACAAATAACATGACATTTACTCTATTTTGTCCAATAAAATATGCTTATTAATGTTGACTTCAGTACTTCTGTATTACTTGCTTACTAATTATCAATTACTAATAAGTAAATATTTAGGTCAACTGAGCAATACAAAATTATGATTATATTTGTATCAGATGAATAAATTATTAAAAATAAATGTGTATAGAAATATGAATATAAATGATTTTCAGTGTAACATTGCACAATGTGTGGTGCAACCATTACACCAAATATAGTTGGCTTGGTCTAAAGACCTCCTAAATTTTGGGTAAATTTTAAAAGTACAGAAGTCACTTTCTGTCCTACCTTTTAAAAAAATAGCTCTATTAGTTGATAGAATATGTCTTTAGTTTTAATGTGATAGAGATTTTCTCAAAAAAATTATTTGTTGTAGAGTTCTATTCTTTTTTAAAACATGTACTTTGCTATGCTCATGAGGAATTTGTTCACATGATCATTTCTAAATTTAGGAAAATATCACCAAATTTAGACTAGCTCTTGACTATTGTAACTAAATTTGGCTGTAAGAAAACTAAAATCACGAAGTCCTATTTTTTGAAAAATTTTATTACATTTTTGAATGAATTACAAAATTGCTAATTTGAAATTTGGCTGCATAGCACAGTAATAGGAAGTCTTTAGACCTAGCCAACCATATAATATAAAAATAGGAATGATGTGTTGATCGTCATGTGACTGCTGTAGTAAGTTGATTTGGTTTGATTGGTAAATTGGGGACCTCTCTATCAGTCCTTATTTTACTATCTCATAATATCATTCTTAAAGACTTGCAAAATTAAAAATGGCTTGCAGCAACATTACCTCTAATGTCAAGTAGTCAAGATAAATTAGATAATGAAAAATTAAATTGTATTTTAGTTTCTAATAAATCATCATTATTTGTGATTTGAATATTGCCTTGCTGTAAGAGATCCTGTAAAGATTTAGGAATTTTTAAAATAACCCAAATCATAGCTCCTCATTATGGTTGATGTTAAAATCTAGTTCTTGCATAGTTGAAAGTTGTTCTATAAATCGTCCTGAAAAAAGGTTCCTTGATTGATATGGAAATAATAAAAAAAACATCTACATAATTACTTATGAGAAAAATATACATGAGTTAAAAAACTGCTTTATATTGTGATCTACTTTTAAATGAAAAAGGAATTATGGTAGAAACTAATTTGGATGCCAAAAAGGAACTACCATCTATAATGTTAAGAGAATACAGTATAATTTGATAACTTAATGACCAAGAATAATACTAACCAATGACTTGAAATTCTCACTTTTAAACAATAAAAACACCTACCAATGAATTTGCAAACTGAAAACTTTTATGTTTGTAGCAGTCTTAATAGGAACATCCAAGTGGTCAAGCAAGTGTGAAACAAAGTTTAAGACATCACTATGTAATGAATTCTTTGTATTGCCAACTGCATGATCTGTTTTTGGTGATGATGGTGAACCAGGAACTTCCACATGCCAAATTTCTTTGTCATCAAACAATCAGATCCCTTCAGTGTTTAAGAGATCATTGTTAAAAAATATTTGTTATTTACACTTTGCATCTGACTTGAAAATTCCAGAGCTAGTAGATGATTTCATTAATTTCGATAATAGGGAGTATGATTCAATCCAGTCAATGGTTATATTTCTGAATGTTATTTCATAAAATTTAAAATCTAGTGTAAGAAAGGGTTTGCTGGTCACTTTATAAATCCTGGGCACTTATTAGTCAAGGCAGAATGCTATGAACATACAAGTAGTTTGGGATTCAGAAATTCTTTGACAGCCTGTCCCAAATTTACATTGTACATTTAGGGTTTGAGTGGCATGTATAATTTGAATCATTTGTTTTGTTCAATTTATTAGTTTTATTCAAAATTGTTTGTTTTGTTTGAATGGAAACCCTAATTATTTAAAGAAAATATTGATTTTTTTGATCCATTATTTTTTGAAGGTTTCAAATAAAGTTTTTCCAAGCTGGACATTCCCTCATTTCACAATATAGATACTGTCCTAAATTAAAAATCAAGAATTTCAATCCCAAATTATTTTGTACATCCCGATGCAGATCAATTCTCTTCCCTGCCTTCTTAACCAATAAGCATCTAGTGTAACAGAGGTGTTGCTGATCACTTTAACAAATTTTGGCACTTATTGGCGAGGCAGAATGCCATAGGTGTACAAGGGATTTGAAAATTCATTGACAGGCTGCCTATGGTTACTTGCCAAAACTCCTTTGGAAATCAATCAGCAGAGTTTTGTCAGGTAACACACTAATTGTTTGTTAGAGTTTCAGCAGAGTTTCGCATTTAGGGATTTTGACAATTAGCAGAGTTTCAGCAGGTTACACACTAATTGTTTATTAGAGTTTCGGCAGAGTTTCGGCAGTCATTAAGAGGTTTCGGCAAGCAACCTTAAGGCTGCCCCAAATTCACTTTGTATATTATGGGGTTTGGGCTGCATGTGTATTTATCACCTGATTACACATGATATACAAAGTTAAAAAATAATTATCTAACATTATTCTTAGACAACAATGAGTTAGACGTTCAGGCAAATTCTTATGCCAGTAACTTTTGTCAATTATATTTCACTATATATGTTTTTAATAATACATAGAAATAACATTACCATATTGTCTGAAATATAAACACTACTATTTTAATGTGTTTTGGTCAGAAAAACTAACTGTTATTCAAGAAATTTTATGCCACTTTTATTTCCTTAATTTATCATTCTAATTTACTTTTCTCAAACATTCTTTGTACTCTGCGAAACAACATGGTCTAAGATCAATTGGGTGTAAATCTATTATTGATCACTCAATGATCTCTCATTGGCAAAGAAAAAGATGATAAATTAGTAAGAAAGCACAATATCCTGAGGCTAAAGGTGTCTCAAAAGCATGGATTTTTGAATTTGGCAGGATGGACTGTAACTCCTAAAATTGTTAAAGTTATATGAAGGAACTTTTAATAAATCAATTTGTACCCAGGAATGCTTCACATTGTTGGTTTATTATTATGTCTTTCTTAGAAGGCATAATCTTGCTATGTGACAAAAAAAAGGTTGGTCAAAGCTTCCTGCCCATCTTGACATCAAATTTCTCAAATTCCAATGATTAAAGAAAAACAATTGAATATGAACTTTCAGAAATTGGAAGAAACCCCTGTTCATTTTGCCATGATTGGGAAATCTAACTATTTATAAATATGGCGCAAAAACTGTGCAGGTTTGAACAAATTACATGTGTCCTTGCAATTCTTACAGATGGTACAAAATTGCCATCAATTGTTATTTCTAAAGGTAAATGAAAGCCAAAAAGTTCACTTCCCCAAATCATTATACTAATATATCTAAAAGGATGGATGAACAAAATTAGAATGAAAGCTTGATTTTACAAGATGTGGAAAAGAAGATCTGAAAATGGATAGCTTTGAAAGTCACAAGACAGATCATCTCAAAATAAAAATATTGATTTAATGATCATTCCAGAGGGTTTTGCCTCAGTTAAAGATAGACTTTGTGAAAAGTGGAATGAATACCTGAATGAGTTTGGGTAAATTCGCCTATAACAAAATTGGAAATTTGAGAAAGCCTGAATATAATGTTATTTGTAATGGATTCTTGAGGTTTGGAATGAAATTCCAAAAGAAATGATTTAAAAAAGAAATGATTTAAAAAAGTGTGACATTAGTAATGCAGTTGATGGACCAGAAGATCATTTATTTGGGCAAGGAAATGAAAATGAGGAAGCTGAATGTGAAATCTTAGAATTCTGGAAAAGAATCCTGTTTGTTATTTATTATGAGAATCAAATAAAAATAATTTAAAAATATATATTTATTCTCTATTTTTTTGTTGCAAATTCATACTGGTGCTTATATTCAAGTGACTCTAATATTCCAGACAATACCAATATGTTATGTAATACATGAATTATAAATTTTATATTGTACGACGGTCATGTGAAAACACGGGTGTATTTAAAGGGTGGTTTTATCATGATTGAGATTATCAAAATCACAGGTTACTTTTTCTTAAAATATCTTTTTGGGAAATCTACACTTTTTAAATCAAGACAACTTTATTACTGTATATAAAATAAAAACTGGATCATCGGGCCAATTTGAAAAATTTTTTTTGTAAATATCTACGTGTCACCTTATAAATTTTTATACAACATAAGGAAAGAAATCACATAATTAAGTTGACCGTAGATTACACTGTAAAAATGTAGCTGGGAGAATTGTATCCGAGTCACTCTAATGCAAGTTCCGGAAAGTGGATGGTAACTATAGGACCTTTTGTTGAACAGCTTTGAGACAAATGCCTGAAAAATCCTATAGAATTAATTACATCTCTCAACATCCATTAAGTTCTATTGGTACAGAAGTGTTGTTATTGTGTGCACAATTATTCTATGTCTCGTTACATTCCAAGATTCCATGTGCATTTTATGCAGTTGGTGCATTTTTTTAAAAAAAAAAAAATAATACAAAAATAGTAATTTCAATATTATTCCTTTTTTATATTCTAATTTTTTTCAATATCCGCCCACAGTTACTGAACATTTTTTAATAAATTTAAAACCGCATACAGGTGTCAATATTAATATTAATATTATATTTTTTTTTTGTAATTGAGCAATTTTAATTGGATAGAAATTATCTGTGGTATTGCGTAATTTGAAAAAAAATCATACGCGCATTGCATAAAAAGTTATGAAATATTATCTGATAATAAGCGAGCGAGCAAATATAGCTAAATTATTTATAAATTAAATATATTAATGTATATTTTTCTAACTTAATAAGGAAAATGATCATTGTTTTTTGATTGGAGAACGAATTCCTTGTGACTAAGATATAAAAATGGTCAAAAAGAAATTAAATTTGACGGGATTTTTTTGGTTCCGCTACTGCATGTATATGTAGGCAAACCACTGACGACAAACCTGTCAAGGAGGATAACAAGAAAATGATGGCAATGTTGTACAGTGGTAGAAACAACGATTAGAAGAATCACCCGATTTTTACTGCAACAGTCTTCACGGGTGACCCGTCGATGTTCTGTAACAAGATGGTGGTGTCATCTGTGGTAAATACGTTTGATGTGAAAATGGAATAAATAATCCAATCTTGTTGCTGAAGAATTTAATGGTAAAGATTATGGAAAAAAGAAGAATTAAAAGATATTTTGTAAATTGCCACCAGACCATAAAATTGGGAAAAATTTTTTTTTTTTAAATTTTTTTATTTTCAGGTGTTTTTTTATCTTAACCTTATCTCCCAATAATTTGATTAATTAAATATAAAATTTAAATATAAAATTTAAATATCATATGTTAATGAAAATTTAAAACAACCTTTTATTGTTTAATAAAGAGGATTTAACATATATTCAAATGATTGGATAAATTATAAAAAAAAATGTTTAACTTAAATAACCTTATTTACTAATTTATAAAAAAACCTCTAATTATTATTATTTACTAATTTACTACTAATTTACTAATTTACTAATTTTATATATTAAAAAAAAAATTGTACATATGTTAAATATATATATATATTATAAACCCAGCCTATCTATATACCACCTAAACACATATATCTAAACTATAAATAACTATATTTGTATAAATATCATAAGAGTTGTTAATAAGGATGCTGATTGTGCAAATGATGATTTCCAACAACATTTCCACCTACTAAACCACCAATACTTGATGAATTAATAATAGCGGTAGTAGTTGAGTACGAAGACGAAGCTGGATCGAAAAATATATCGTCGTCGTATAAATGTTGTTCCCACGATACGCTATTATTATTATCATTATCATTATTGATATTATTATTATTGGCAGTAACTGTGGTAGTAGATATTGGAAATAGATCATTCGATGTAGTGTATATTGATGATGATGATGATGTTATTAGTGATTGTGGAGTCGAAGTCATAATAAATAAATTGTCATTATTACAATCATTATTATTATCAGTGTTGTTGTAGTTATTGGATGATGGTATAGATAAATCAACAATTTGGGATGAAGCATCTTCCATAACTGTGTCCCCACCAATATCTGCGTCAGAATTTGAATTTGTTGCAGCATCTGGTAATGATGAGATTGAGATTTTGTTACTAATAATAGTAATATTATTATTATTATTACTGTTATTGTTATTATTATTATTAGCAAAATTGCTAGATGTTTTAAATAACAACGAATCACTGTTATTCCTTCGCAAATTGGATGTTTTTGCAACTGACTCGGTTGCTATATCCACTGTTGTCATAAAATTACTATTGTTATTGTTATTGTTATTGTTATTACTATTGCTATTGTTATTATTATTATTATCATCATCATTGTCATTAGTATTTTTAATATCACCACCACTCAACTCACTTGGATTTGAATCATTATTGTTACCAAACACGTCCCCTTTATTATCACCAACACTATCCTCATTATTGTTATTATTATTATTACCATTGTTATTATTATTATTCCCATTACTATGATTGTCATTGGTACTTTGACGATTAGATTGGAATTCTAAAAGTTGAATTAGGAATGGAAGAGGTATAGTGAAATCATTTGTATTAGTAAGCGTCAAAATTCTTTCCACCTCTTTAATAACATCCGTCATTTCAGCAACATTAATAGCCTTTCCTACACATTTTAACTCTTCAAATGTGTCATTTAGCACCTTTTTTGCTTCTTGTGCATACTCGGCCGTCGAACCAATTGTCCCATTACTAATTATAACAGATTCGAGCATAACTGCTTGCAAGATACCATAAATTGGAAATATGAAATTACAAAACGCTGTTTTATCGTATTTTCTTGTTGTTCTGGATATATCGGTTATGGTTGTTGCAGCTGTTAAACAAGTTTTAATTGGCGCATTGTTAAATTGAGACGATGATGTAACATATTTATTGGAAGCTCCAAAGGCAGGATTATAAAATTGATAGGGATTGTAATTATGGTATTTTGTTTGTTGAGCATTTTTTTTCGATGATAATGACATTGATGATGAATTTGTGAGGTAAGGTTGATGCAATAACAAGAGACAAGTGTGGAAAAGAATGTTGATATAACCAGAAAACACCGAGAAACTGGATAAGTGTAAAAGGCTTCCTGGATCTGTATCTGGCAAATACTGATACTGTAATTCGTCCGGCAATTCTTTCAACCATTTTGCCAAGGCAGATCTGATTTGTCTCAACATACTTTTTGGATCAGCTACGTGACTTTGCCAATTTTCATAACAGGCTTTTGGATGGGTGGTATAGCCGAACTTCCATATTTGACCGAGGATATGTGATAGTTTTATTAATGCAATGAAGAAACTTTTGGTTTGTTGATCAAAGTTGAGTAGTTCTGGTAGCGGTACGTTAATGTCCATGTCATCGACCGAGTATGGTTTGGCGTGAATGAAGGAGACCCATCTGTTGCGACAATAGATACAATAAAACACTCTACGTCTTTCTTCGCTCTCCTCTGACGACAATGAATCGTTCACACGTTCCAATTGTAAACAATTTGACATCGAGACTAATTAATTGTTATTGTGAAAATGGGAGGACGAAAAAATAAGAATGATGATGTGGATATGATATGAATAATATGAACGTGGTGAGAATGTGATGTGCATTTACAAAAAGATAATATTTTATATTAATGTAGATATATTGACATACCAGCCATGCCTAAAAACATGAAACTACTATCCATTCTTGAAATATTGGATTCGGATAATGATAGGAGCAATAAAGCTTGAATTATTTCCAGTCTAGGTTTTTCATATACTGAATCAAGTATTTTCTAAATGTTATTCAAACAAAATAAAAAAACCATTAATAATTTTAAATTAACGTTAGAATTTTTGCTTTGCGCTCTATATTTAACAAATGCTTATTATTTACCTTTGCAGCATCAAAGAACACGCCACCAGGTCTACTTTCAATGTTTTGAATTGATGGATCATATGGTGATCTTGAGGCAACGTACGCCAGAGTTGAGTTGACCAACAGTTCGGAGTAGATGGATTTGCTTCGCCAAAGATCAATAAATCTTTTTCGATCAAGTATAGGAAATACCGGATTAAATTTTTTGAAATAGTCTTGTATCAATTTTTGACATAATTCTTTGGATGGTGGTTGTGGAATTGTTGTGCCAGAAATTGCTGATGACGACATAGGTGATATGGATGGTGATGATGAAGCTGACGATGATGTTGGAGATGGCAATGATGACAATGACGATGAAGACAAGGAGGAAGATTTATTGTTATTATTGCCTAGAAACTTGTTAGACAAGTTGTCGAGATCTAAATTGGGATTATTTATAGACATTTTATTTAATTTATTTACTAAATCTACAACACACTTAGGATAAGTGTGATTTAACAAAGCGGATAAAGGTGATTCGTGCTTTTTTTCTTCAGGTTTCGAATCTATTAATAAGGGAAGATCAAGAACAATCGAATTAACATTATTGTTGTTGGGACGAGAAAGCGAAGAGGATTTATTATCTTTTGAGCTTTGTTGTAAACTTTCAACAATAAAATCAATACTGTTTTCAATTCTTTGAAGATCATTTTTAGTTAAATTTTGATTTGTCATTTCCAAGCCGGTTGAAGGTAATGATGGTGACTTTGGTTGCGGTTGTTTATGATGAAATTGATGATCAAGTTGATGATGATGATTTAATTGAGGAGTTTGTGGCTGATTATTTGGATTATTCGAAATATTGGAAAGATCGAATTCTGATAATAAACGATGACGATTTTGTTGATAAAGTTGTCTTGACGAAAACTGTTTTTGCAATAACTCATCATCATTATTGTTGTTGTTGTTGTTGTTGTTGTTGTTGTTGTTAATGGTGGTGGTAGTGGTGGTGGTAGTGTTGTTGTTGTTGTTGTTGTTGGTAGAATTTGTAGAAAATGATGGTTCTGATAGACGTGTTCGTTTAGCTGGTAACATTATTAATATTAATTATTATTGTTGCTAATGATGATGATGATGGAAAATGAATTCTTTCGCTTATAATTAATTAATAAAAGAATTTAAAGATTGAATAAATAATAATATATAAAATGTATGATTACAAATAGTTATTAATATATATATATATATATATGATATATAAAGAATGTTAAAACTATTTCTTTTTTCCTTTTCCTAAAGATTTTTTTATCTTGTATAATAAATATTTATATGTATAATTATTATGATAACCTTTTTTAAAAAGATTTACACAAAGGGGAAAATATTTTAGATATTGAAGAAAAAATTTAGTCTAATATTTATATAATGTGAATAAAATTCAAATATTTTTTTTTTTGAAAAAAAATTTTTTAATAATACACGGTATGGAAAATCTGTTTAGAAAACAATAAGTTTTGTTTTAAATGTTTGTGCGTTTAATTCGGTTTAAACAAAAAAAATATATTTTTAAGGGGGGGGGGGTTTAGTATATTATTTTTAGACTGTATATATTTTTTTGAATTTTGTTTTAAAGGAATTACATCGCATTGATTAAATTTCAATGCTGAAATAAAAAATTAAGATGATATATTTTGTGACTGTCACACACTAAATTAATTACTCACACGCAATCGCACATTTTAAAAAAAAAGGAAACTATGAATAAACAATATACTAACCCAAATTTTTTTCAAAAAAAAAAATTGGTTTTTTTTTTATTACCGTTATTATTTTAAACGCGTATTGTGCGCATATTGATTATTTTAAATACGATAATTTTTGTACTCGATAAACAAATAAGCACAGAGCAATAAATAAAAACTTTATTTTTATTATTAATAGTATTGTTGATTGGTGATTTACAATTGTGTAACTTTTATTACTGCGCCATTTACCACTAACCTTAAGAGAATAAGAGTATGGTAATTTTATAATTAATTGCAATAAGGACAAACTGTTTTATTCTTTATATCCCCACTATTGATTGCCAAAATAAGTAAGTAAAACGTCTATTTTAATTTTTCCTATTAATAACATAATAAATATAATGGAAACAAATCCATTATTTTTTTTTTTGATCCTTCTGTTTATCGATACACACACGACTATGCAATGTTTTTAAGTGGTTGTTGAGTTATTAATTTTGCTTATTTTCTAGATTAGATTAAAAATAAAAAAAAAAATAAAGTAAAAAATACAATAATTTTCAACAGTTTCCTGCTATCTTATATTGGCAAGTAATCTATCTATTAATATTATAATGTATTGTGCGTGTTATTTATTATTTAGTAAATATTTATAAGTAGCACACAGACCACTTTATAAAGAAAAAGAACTGACTAGTCTGTAAACAATTATTATTGAGAAAATTTATTTGTTTGGTGTAACACACAGAATGCATGTCGTAATGTCTGGTATAAACACCTCCATTTTAACATGGGTGCTTGTTGTATTAGAGAGATTTTGTGTCACGTTTGCGTTAAACCCTATTTACTAATTTAAATTTTTTTTTAAATTTTTTTTTCCACAGAACTCCAAGTTTTGCAATATGCGAAACAACATGGCCTGAGCGCCATTTTACTATTTATCACTCAATGATCTCCATTGATAAAAACAAAAGGTAATGATTTAGGGGGCTGATGAGCATGGATTTTTGAATTTGGCAGACGGACTGTAACTTCCAAAATTGTTAAAACTTGTATCAATTTGATATGATACTTATCCAGGTGCCAGTAAAAAGATTTCATGCTCTACAATGTTGCTCTATTATTATTGCTTTCTTGAAAGGTATGATCTTGCTATATGACGTAAAACAAAGATTGATCAAAAGCTTCTTGCTCATCTTGATGCCAAATTTTGACTGGAAATAAAAAGAAATTATTTTGCATGTGTCCTTGCAATTTTTGCAGATGGTTTGATAAGATGTGAAATGGAATTACGAAAAAAAAAAGCACTCCTTGTTTATGGATAGCTTTGAAGGTCACAAGACAGATCATTTTTAAGACATTTTTATTTTTGTCATTCAAACCCATGTTGCATCAACAAACCATTTAAAGATAGGAATGAGATACTTGAATGAGTTTGGGTAAATTCACCTATACCAAAATTGGAAATTTGAGAAAGCCTGAACGTAATGTTATTTGTAATGGTTTAGAATGAAATGATTGTTAAAAATGTGGCGGTATTAGTAATACGATTGACGGATCGGAAGATCATTCGCTCGGGAAAGGGGAAGGTGAACATGAAGCATTAGATAAATGAATTAGAGGTGGAGGAAATAGTCTGAATAAAATAAAATTTATTAATTTTTTTAATTATGTAGATCAAATAAAAATTATGTTATATTTTTTTATATATTAGTGCTTATATTCCAGATAACACGGTATATAAATAATAGTAGTATTAATATTAATATTCACAACTTTTTTCCGAATCGAAATAATATTATTAAATATTATTAAATATTATTTGTTTTATGATTGGTATCATTCTTCACGAGATAATAGCAAGTAAAAAATCAATGTTTGTAATCATATATACTATTTATAGTAATGAGTGGAAGTGTCGAGGCTTTTCCGTAAGGTCCAGGCCTTTATGAGCGATCATATTGACCAAATCCCTTTATAAACCTAATATTCAAAAACTTTGATATCAATGAAAAATTTTTATTTGTTTTGTTTTGGCTTTATTTATGTATGACCTCCAAGGTTTTCTAAAAATCGATAATTTTAACAAACACGTCAGTTAAGTGACCCGTTCAAATTGGTTTTATTTTAATATTTAAACAAATAATATTCGACGCGCGAAATAAAACCGGTCTCTCGACAAGTCAGTTCAGAAGATAAATAGGCGCATGACATAGTTCGTTACGTAATATTAATTAATTTTATTGTATTTTAAAATAACCATTATTAAAATTAACAATTATTAAATTAATTATGATTGTTGTAAATGATTTAGGTTAAATTTGAGATGGGTTCTAAATTATGGAACGTAACTTTTTATTATATAATCAAACACCTTGTTCTTTACAGGTAGAATTCAGCCCAATCAATTACAAACCATTTTAATTGATTGATGGATTAGAACCCCAATCTTCGTTCAACTTTTTTTATTCATGCACAAAATGGTATTGTGTTTACATTTAAAGGACACACCGTTACATATCATCATATCATGGATTAATTGCAAGGAAATTATTTATTATTATTATTTATTTTTATTATGTATATTGTGTTGATGTTTGTGAAATATTCTGAATATGATTCTAGGATATATAGGATATACAAATTATATATATATTAATATATATATATATGGGGATATTAATATATATATATATATATATATAAATATATGGGGATATATATTATTCTCCTACCGAATTTGCACCAAACTTTTCATAAAAGCAATACAAACAGCATATCATGTCCCATACCACAAGCTTCGGTATAAATCATGCCGGATAGGCTTCCTCTATATCTATAAAGTTTATCAGCATAATGTTATTTTATGTACAAACTTTATCTATTTTCTCCAATCTCTATATTTTGTGTTTCTGTTTAAATGCATGTAATTTAAATTAATAACATAATTCTTAATTAGTCAGCTGATATGTCAATTATTTATCGTACCAGTACAGATTATATGCTTGTTTGTTGATTTTTTTAATTCAAATGATACAATAGATTGATTTTATTATTATAGAACGAGGACTCAGGTGATGTACAGGGACTTGTAAAAGACTCATATTCCAATGGACAATGACTTATAATGAATGCATGGTGTTTTCTTATAAGCCGAGATAAAGAACAATGTCTTTATTGTTGTAATTGTTGGGGGTTCTGCATGCACACTTTAATATCTTGTCTAACGAAATGTAAAGAGTATATTTTGTCTATAGACGTTGTTTGGAGTATAACTGCATTTTATATATATTAGAATGTTAAAAGAGTCTGTTTGCTTGGCTTTACACTTTTGCTTTTTCTATTCCCTATGCTCTCTTTAATCGTATCATTTCTCTTTAAATCAAAATCTTTTTATTTTCACAGCTCCAAATAGGCATGCTTATTATTAGACATTGTTTCCTAGACGAAAATGATTTGTTTAAGCAATTCATCAGTGCTCTATATATTTGAAAGAATCAATTACGGTCATTGACGATGATGATCACAAATTTTTTGGCTATTCCTATGCTGAATTGATTGGGTTCTGGCTAAGCATTGTCTCTTCCCTTTGTAATGTATAAAAGAACCTTGCTTGCTCGAGTATAACAATTGAGTCGTTATAAACAATCAGATTTAGGTTTCTCACGCTTTAAATTATATATATATATGCATATAGAACAAAATTAAATTTTAAATCCTTAGGAGACTTTTTTTTAGTTTTCTTCCGTCGATTTTGTACATCAACTGTGAAAATATATATATCATGTTATCAATGAATATTGTAATTTTCAGGAATTGGACTTGATTACTATTATGCTTTACTATTTTCGTTATTAACTATTTTTTAACTGGTCATAAATCTATGCGATTTTAACTTGATCGAACTAGTATTTTTGCTCTAGTATTAGCAACAGTAATTCTTGTAATCAATTAATTGTGAAATTTTTTTCTATCTAATTAATTCAGAAG